GGGGGGGAAGCCGTGTGAAGGGCCGACTGTTATATTCTTCTTGAATCCTCTTTTACAGGTTTAAATTGATCAAGGACAAAACTGACAAAATAATGAATTTAAACTGGTGTATCAGGTGCTTTAACACATCGGGAGGATGCTAATTCATAACGTGATATGCAGCTTCACGCTCTGAGAAGGCCAAATGACTGACTAGAAACGGGTATTGTCGCAACCTTATAATTTCTGCTTTAATGGCGATCAAGTTTAAAAAATGTACAGTTCAACTTGTCCGTACTGTTCCTTTATAAAAGGCAGATTTCAGGTAAGCTTCTAAATGCATGCATAATGTAGAGGCTAATGTTTCCTGGCGGTCCTCGGTTCCTGAAAGTTGAACTTCACCAGATGTGTTTTAAGCTTTTGTCAAAATAGTCGTGAAGGATATGTTATTTCTGCATAATGAGGTAATATCTCAGGGGCGGGCACTCGTCACCGTAAGACAGGATAAACCGCCCGCGCCTAGCCTGCCTGAGGCGGTGGGGACGGTCAACTGCCACCAAAGGGTTTGGGCCGGTGAGTATTTTATTTTGCTGAAGGAGTAACACTTAGGTTTAACCGAGCACTTCTCTGTAATAAATACCCAAGTAGGTTTTTGTGGCTGTGAACCGTGCACACAGACCGCTATAGGCCGTTCTGTCATGGAGCTAATTTCACCTGGAGAACAGAACCCACCTCTCTGCTAACGTTGCGTTTTCAGTAACACAATGGAGAATACTGTTTTGTTAGGAACACGAGTCAATTCTACGCCTTTCGACGGCTGCTGGAGACCACTTCTCCTTGCGAAGCCAGCAGTTGCTATATTCCTGTTTTTGTCTGTTTGCTCGGAGAACAGCATAGAGATGTTAAGTGCTAGACGCCAAGGATGGCTTTGGCAAACCAGTAAGGCGCGCCGGGTCCCAGGGCTACCCTAATACTGGCGAAGGCGGAAGACCACGGACTATTTACAACACACACTACGTTCCCCTCCTGAGGTGGCCCTGGAGTGAGTCCCTCGTTCTGTAACAGCAGCTATATACACGTGTGCACGGGAGTACGTGGAGGCGGCAGTCTTGCGTGAAGATGTGGACAATCTTAAGGTCCTGCTCTTTGCTAGTCAGACAGGATGTGAACAAAGGACACTGGAAAGACCCCCTTCCTCTCAGGCTGTCCTTCGATATGCCCGATCTGTGGGGAGAAAAGAGTCGTCAGTCCGCAGGCGGCCCACGGGCTTGGGGTGCCCCCCAACCTGGTGAGCTATAGGGCGCTAATGACAATAAACTACGTGCAGCAATAACAGAAGAAAGTAGGACACGCTCAGCGCTTCTCCGGGACCTCACGGCGCCCGCACGCCAGCCCCAAGGGAGGGGAGCGTCCACGAGCGGGCGGGAGGACCTGCCCGTGGTCCCACACGGGCTGCAGACTCCACAGTCCACGCTCTGAACCGGGGCGCTCAACCGGCTCTCCCGCTGAGCCTCCTCGCACAAGCCTTGCTAAGCCTTATCTGAAAAATGGGGCTAAAGGACCCTTTCTCCTCAGGACTCTCGCGAGGTTACACGAAAACCCACACAGATGCGAAGGGCTGGCTTGCGGACCAGACCCGCACGTTCTGGCTGCTGTGGGGGAAGGAGACCGATAGGGTCTGAGATGGGACGGTGGCCTGGGGTCACTTTACGGTCTGCTGCCCGAGCCTGTGAGCCACAGTGCCCAGCAAGAACCTCCTAATTAGCTCAGTTAGGCCCCCATTAAAATTGCATGAAGGAGAATCCTGTCACGAGCCTTCAGAACAAAGAGGACACGCACACTGGCTTTAAAGGACAAAAGCAGAGAGTGGACGGATGGTGGCCTTAGGGACCAGGTCAGCTCTCATTTTCATCTACGAAACACCCGCAATGTGGACGGCGGCTGAGGCAGGAGCTGTGGGGGGAGCCCAGGGCTGGTTCCTTTATTCACCGGCTCTTTGACCTGGGGCAGCCCCCCGGGCCCCCCTGGGCCGTGGGGCATGGGCTTCTCACCTTGGAGGTGGAGCTAACGTAAGACCTGACCTGCTCACCTCGGGCGTCTTGCTCAGCTGGCGTCAGGCACGTGAGAGGGTTCTGTCCATCAGAAATCGCTGGTGCCACGCACGGCATTATTTTTATGTCTGCTCTGGCAGATGTAATGACACTAAAAACTTTCCACTTACTCCCCCTGGATCCTCTGCTGTCGTCACCACTTTCTTAGCAAGGGATCTGGTCGCCGCTTGCTTATAGTAACATCACCGTATCATCAAAGGGCATCCTTGTGGGGAGGGGTTACTCACGGCCCATTTCTGAGCAGGAAACAGGCCGCCAGAAGGGACGTGCCTCATCCGAGGCCACAGAGCGTTGTGAGTGACTCCCACGGGGTCTTCAGAGCCCATCTCCTTGTCATGACTCTCTAGCAGGCTCCACCCCAGGAGGAGGCCCGATCCTAACAGAGGTAGGAGGGGCCCGGGGCTATCCCCACTTGTCCCTCTGGAGCAGGGGGGAGGCACCTCATCCCTCCAGCCGGGGCTTCCCAGCTTCAGCACTCCTGACACTCAGGCCAGCAGCTCTGTTCTCCCAGCACCCTGGCTTCTACTTGCCAGAGGCCCAGAGCGTCCCCGCTTCCCAGGTCCCCAGCGTCGCTGCTTCAGTCCCAGCAAAATCTCTGCCGCTGTGATCGAGAATCTGCAGTCACTCTCCAGGCCCAAAGGCAGAAAAGCCAAAGGTACACACCTGTGTGTGTATGTGTGTGTGCATACGTGCACGTGTGCTCTGGGCCCCAGCAGGCTCTGCTGGCAACTGTGAACCACAGGTCCCTTCCCAGCAGACAGAACGGGGTCCCTCTGGGCAGGTGGGGTGCAGGCTGCCAAGGAAGCAGAACCTCCAGGCTGATGCTGGGAACGATCAGAGGACACCATCCCCGATGCCTCCGGCCAGTTGTCACGGGAGGCCCACTCCCGTGGCCCACAGCATAGACCTGTCGGCGGCCCTTGCAGCCACCGAGAATCTCCAAACAGCCGCTGTGTGAGGGTGACGGGGCTTTTCCGTTCTGACACCTGGGCAGCAGTTTTAATGAAAAAGGGATTTTTATAGATATTTTCACTTAATCCTCTAAAATCAAGTGAGGAAGGTCTGATGGCCCACTTTACAAAGACAGGCCTGCAGGGTGGATTAAGGACCGAGCCTGGGGACAGGGCAGTGGTAAACAGGGACGCAGGCCTCCGAGCCTGAGCCCGGGACGGTGTGTTTTGGGGAGCAGGGCATCGGGCTTCGGGGTCAGAGACGCTCCCGAATACGGCTGCCTACCATGCTGAACGGTCCTGAGCTCTTCCAGTGAAACGGCAGCAAATACCTGCGGCTCACGGGGGGCATGATAACAAGGGTAAAGCACATGCATACGGTAATTCTCCTGACCCAGTTTCGAAGCCCCACGGCTCTGTTCCTAGCACGACAGCGGTGACAGAAGACACCCAGCGACCACACCAGAGGGTAAGCGAGGCGGCCGGCAGGATCTTGGCGCTGGGCGCTGCTCCTCATCGCGGGGCGGGCACCCCCAGCCCCCTACCCCCTGCACCCTGGTACGTACCCACCACTCCTGGTCTTCCTCCCCCGTGACCACAATCACTTCCCCCTCCATGAAGGTGAGCTCATCGTCATTGTCCGCCTGGCAGTCGTAGATGGTCTTCACTCGCCTCACCTTGTTTTTGCCCTTCAATAAAGAAACTGGGTTTTAGCTGAAAAAAGGACACGCAGACCTTGGCGTGGGCTTTAACCTCCCCGAGCCTCGACTTCTCCCCTGTGGGAGGGGAGGCCGGTCTGCCAGGCACCCAGGTGCTGTGCGCCCCCTCCCTCTTCCCCGAGCTCTGGGACGGAGCGAATTATGGGCGGGGATCAAAATGCAGCTCCACCGAAAGCCATGAGGCACCCTGCCCTCCCCCCACCCACAACAGCAGCTTGCAGAGATGACAGCAGAGGGTAAAAATGGTGCCGGGAAACATGATGTAAAGAAGAATGTGCATCCTCTGCAGACTGAACGCACGACATGAACACATTTCTCAGTCCCCTCACGCAAAGTACCAAGTCAGCACATGCTGGGGAACCAGGATGCAGCAGCCTGGGTGGGAGGCTTCCAGGCAGTTCCCAACAATGCATTAACGTCTGATCACTTTTCCCTTGGGCTTTTATCTGTTCTGGTTTTTTGCAAACAGAAAGATGGAAATAGAGAAATCATCTTCGAAAGGAGGTTTCTGGTGCTCTGCTCGTTAAATAATTAGTATTACAAAAGGCGAGGTGTGGGGCGCCTGGGTGGCTCAGTCGGTTAGGCGTCCGACTTCGGCTCAGGTCATGATCTCACGGTTCGTGGGTTCGAGCTCCCCATCGGGCTCTGTGCTGACAGCTCAGAGCCTGGAGCCTGCTTCAGGTTCTGTGTCCCCCCCCCACCCCTCCCCTGCTTGTGCTGTGTCTCTCTCTCTCATTTAAAAACCCCCCAAAACCAAGCAGTGTCTCTCAGTGTTTTGGGTCAGCTGACTCCTCCTCTGCATGCTCTGGGCTGTCCCTCAGCCACCCCCTTCCTCTCTGCAGCCCCTCCCGGGGCCGGTGACGCTGGAGGAGTGGCGGCCAAGGCGTCTCAGCTCCAAGGCCCGTAGGCGAGAATTTACAACGGGGAGGATGAAACGACAGCGTCAGACAACCGTGCAAGCGTGTGGTGTGGGCCGGAAACTGCACCCGGCAAGGCCAGCAGCGGCGCCCGGGGTCTCGGGAGGTTGCCTTTGGGGAGAGTGAGCACACGTGCCACACCGCCCAGGGCGGCCTCTGAGCCGTGGACAGCGGGCTGTGTTCGTTCCTCCTCTCCTGCGGGGCGGAAGGGACACACTTCTGCTGCAACGCTGTTCTTACAGAGGGCAAGGGCAGAACCGCGCGCAGCGGGCGGCCCTTCTGCTCCCTGGGGGACTGTGCTCCTTGGCTTGGGCCGCCAGTGTCCCCCACCAACGGCACGCTGAATCTTCCTGGAGCCCTGCCCCAAAGAAGGGTTTTTTGGGCAAAAAGCATTTTTATATTAGAATAAAACCGACATATTACAGAGTAGGAAGCGTTTCATGAAAACGAGGGAGTGGGAGATTTCAACCAAGTTCTGCACGTGCAAGTCCCCTGGGCTTTGCCTCCACCTCCTCCAGGAAGATGCGGCGAGAAGCAGAGAGCAGATCTGCAGAATCCGGAGACGGAACCTGCTCTCCTGTGACTCTAGGAGAGGAGGACTCTGGTCCTCCAGGCTCTTAGAGCTGAGTGTCTGCAAGGTGCCAGCTTGGTGCCACTGTCACTGCACTTAACTGCCTGTGAGCTGGCTCGGTGACCGCGCTGGCCCCTTTCTGTGTACGGGGAAACTGAGGCTCCGAGAGGGTAAGTAACGGGCCCAGGTCACGCAGTCGGAGCGTGCACCGAAGGCAGGTCCTGAGGCCCGCCCACTGGAGTGCAACGCCCGTGTCCCTGACCACCGGGCTCTGCTCTGGCTCGATGCCAGGGGAGGCGAGCAGGCCTGTGCTGCTTCTGGGCCCGCTGGAGCACATGCCCTCCCGCGGGGCCCCGGAGCGCAGCAGCGGGCTCGCGAAAGCCTCAAACGCGGCGCCTACCCACCGTATTGATTTTCCTGGGCAGCGGAACGGGCGTCTCCGGCAGAGTGGGCGTGAGGTCGTTGGAGTCTTCGGATGCTTGCTTTTGGATGGCGTCTCGGGACTGCACGTTCGGGGAGAGATCCACCGGGTGTGACTTCTGGGTGACGTCTGGGGGCTGCTGGGCCTTGGGCGACACGTCCCCAGCCTGGGACTTCGTCAGCAGGTCTCCCAGCTGCGGTTTGGGAGGGAGGTCCTTCATCTGTGGCTTGGGGGGTAAGTCTGCCAGCTGGGGCTTGGGGGGCAGGTCTCCCAGCTGGGGCTTGGGGGGCAGGTCTCCCGGCTTAGGAGGCAAATCTCCAATTTGGGGTTTGGGACCCAGTTCTGTGGGCTTCGGGGGCAGGTCTCCGGGTGGTGGCTTCTGCGGTAAGTCTGCCAACTGTGAGGACTTCTGAAAGATCTCGGGTGGGATGTTGGCTTTGTCCAGGGAGAGGTGATGGCTGGTTTCTGTTTTCCTTAGTGCCACTGTGGGAAGCAACCACAGAGAGGGAGGTCACTGGAGGGCACCATGAGGCGGGGAAGCGCTGCCCCCTCCATCCATCAGTCCCCAGGAGGACCGAGGGACAGTGAGTGCCCGCTCTGGGGCCGGACCCAGGCACACACTGCCCGTCCTTAGAAGATAAAAGTTGGAGGCTTGGAAGGCGTCCACATTACAGTGTGTTATTTCACACCTCAGTTATGTAGGAACGGGATGTGCAAACTAATCCAGAATTTAAAAAACACGACTGTTTAAATTAAAAAAAAAAAAAAAACAGCAACCATAATACAAATAGGTTATAAAGTTTTCCACAAGCCTACCACCTAAATGTAGCCATTTAAAGTAAGGGGACAGGGTGTCTGGGTGGCTCAGTCGGTTAAGCGTCCGACTTTGACTTGGGTCATGATCTTGAGGTTTGGGAGTCTGAGCCCCATGTCAAGCTCTCTGCTGTCGGCATGGAGCCCATTTGAGATCCTCTGTCCCCCTCTCTCTGCCCCTTCCTTCCCAAATAAATAAACAAAAAAATACAGTACTGGGTCATATTTCCTCCTGGACTTTTCTGTATGTTTTTCACAGATAAAATGTTTATCTGCCTTTATCTATATGCTGCTTTAGGAAGAGTATTTGCCAGTTCAATAAAGTTCCTTTGGCAACAGTATGTACTTTTTAATGTTGTGTTCTGTTCTGTGGCTGTCTCATAATTTATGATGAATTCCTCACGATCACACGCTACATAAGGTAAGAGATGAAAAGGCTTCTCCCCTCACCCACCCCAATCCTTCGAGGTAACTTCTGCTACGTTTTGGTGACACAGGTCCTTGTACTTACGAATGTATCTTTTAAAAACCCTACGTGGCATTTTCACGTACTTTGCAACTTTGTTTTCTGCCTATTTAATGTGTTTGGGAGGATTTCCTAGGCAGGCCCCCCCCCCACTCCCTGTGTGGCTGCGGCCGGAATACCGCACCGCCTGGGGATTCCAGTTCGTGAAACCATACCCACAGCTCTACTGGTAGGACCTAAGATCCTATGGACATGTCCAAGGCCACTCCACCCGGTACTTACCTGCTGTGTGATCTTGGGCAGATTACACAACCTCCCTGTGCCTCACCTTCCTTATTTCTAAAACATGAGTCAGTACAGGTCAAGAGTTTGCCAACAGGACCTGGCAGGCTCTAAGCATTATATAAGAGCATTATCACACTGTCAGACAGGGTTGCTGGAGGCGAGGGTTCGCATTTTCACTTATTCTTATAACTCGGGCTCCTGGTACAGAGCCAAGTACACAGTAGACATTCATTCAGCAAGGAAGTAGCTGACTAAGGCACATGGAGAAAGTCAAACTAAGGATGCTACTCTAAAAGTACAACATATTCCCAAAGATATTCTCAAAATTTATTTAAAAAAAAAAGAAATAAAAGATGAACGCTGGTGTTGTAAACTGTCACAGGCTGTACCGTAGCTGTTTCTGCTCATGGCCTGCTCAAGCCATGTCCCTTCCTAAGGAAATCAAATTCAAGGGCACGCTGCTCGCGGGCTGGCCCTTGAGCTCCAGCTGGTGTGGCTGAGCTCAAAGAGTTAAAGCAAGCCACATTCCTCTCTCGCAAGTCACAAACGGGGTGGGCGCAAGGCAGAGGCTGGCAATGATGGGGCAAAGCTGGGGGATCCCCCGAGGCGGTGGGCGTGGCAAGCCTCTCTGTGAGCCACTCCTGGGGGAACAGACACTAAGTCCTGGGCAGAGAGAACCCCAAACCATGCAGCTCCAGTGCCAGGAATCTATCCTAGAAAAAGGATCAAAGCCAGGCCATGAGATGCTCGCACTTGAATGCTCAGCACCGCACCGGTCACAGCGCCAAAGCCTCATGCTGTGTGGACATAGAATGACCAGGCCTACCTAGTCCCTCATGGCATCAGACAATGGACTATGATGCAGCCGGTAAAAGCCGGATGGTGTGTAATTTGTTATGGAGAATGTTGTTGATTTGTTGTGTGAAAAAAAAAACAAACCAACAACAACTCCAGCTTAAATCAAAACCTAAAACAAAGCACAGAATAAAGGATATATACCAAATTGTTTTTATGTTGGCAGATAGAAGACTTCGGGTGATTCGTGTTTTTCTTCTTTTTTTGGTTGTATTTTTTGAAAAATCTTCTGGAATGAATACATGTACTTTTGTAATAGGTAGAAACAAAATGAGGGGTTTCTTCCCTAGGGAAGCTTGCCCAACCTTTGGCTATTCTATTTCCAAGCTGGTTTTGTGTTTTCCCCTCTCGAATTAAAAGTCCTTTCTGAACTGCCTTTTTAACTCTGAAGGGTTGACAAGCCGATTTTCCTCGCAAACTGGACTCCAGAGAGCACGCTGGTAGAGTGAGGCCCAGTAAGAACAAAAAAGGAATGAGAATTCCACCCTCCACCCCCACTCCTTGCAGAAACCTGGGAGGTTATGGTGTAGCCGCTTCGCATGGGCTGGACTGGGTGGAAAGCACGTGGATACAGCCCCTTTGAAAAGCAACATGACCCAGAGTCCGGCCTATTAAACACTCTTCCCTTGGCCGTGATCATTCTACTCCTGAGAATGGCTTCTAAGAGCATAACTGAGGAACAGGAGGCAGAGGAAGAAAAACCCTGCAAACTCCTGGCCCAGACTCCCAACAGAAGGGGTTGCTGCACACAGGCTTGTGTGACATTGGGCCGATACTCGACTGCCGGCCACCGGCCTCGCGGAGTGGTTTTGACAGGGAGGACTGGATCCGGGCTTTGAGCACTGACAGCTGCACGCTTCCCACAGAGAGAGACCATCAGACGGCGTCCACCTCTGGACAAAAGGACACCCAGCCCCCAGGCAGTAGCTCTGCTACGGTCTGAACCTGTATCTGACTGGGTCTCTAGGTCCCACTTCCAACTGACAGGAGAACCAGAGAATACAGGCACGTGTTAAAACAACTGCATGGGGATGCAGTCAGCAAATTCCAAACTGGAGAAACCTGTGAGGACAGATAACCCAGTTCCTTCCACAACAAATCACCGGAAAAGGAGAGACATGCAAGGGAAACCATGAGCCAAGACGCTCAAGAGACAAATCAGTCAGGTGTTAACATGTGGACCTTATTTCATTCTATCTTGTCTTAAACGATTTGTTAAAGAAAAAAAAAAGGGAGGGGGGTGTGGGTTGCCTCAGTTGGTTGGGAGTCCGACTCTTGATTGTGGCTCAGGTCATGATCCCAGGGTTGTGGGATGGAGCCCTGTGTGGGGCTCTGCACTAAGAGTGGAGCCTGCTTGGGATTTTCTCTCTCTCTCTCCCTCTCTCTCTGTGGAGCCTGCTTGGGATTCCTCTCTCTCTCTCTCTCTCTCTCTCTCTCTCAGTGGAGCCTGCTTGGATTCTCTCTCTCTCTCTGCCCTCCTCCCCCATTTCCCTCTCTTCCCCACTCGAGCTCTAAAATTAAAAAAAAAAAGACAGGCATTTATGAGATAATTAGAAATGCAAACTGGGTATTTGAAAGTACTAAGAAATTTTTTATTTTTATTTTTTGAGAGAGAGAGAGCACGAGCATGGAACGCCGTTCCAGAGTTGGGGTGGGGCTAGTGCATAAGCATGGGGTCCACCTGAGGACACAGCCTGCTGCTTCCTGGGTGCCAAGTGCAGGCAGCCGGGGACATGTGGTGGTGAGCGTGGGGCGGAGTGGGCTTATGTCCTGTTCACGGAGAAAGCAGAAGCGAAGTTGTTTCGGGGAGAACAGGAGGTGTGAAGGACGGAGGGCTAAGGTGGTGGCGAGTCAGTAGATCCCGCGGATGGAGGGCACCAGGTCGCACCCGAGGCCCGCGTGAGCTCAGCGGTCTTGACCGCTTCTCGGACCGCTCTACGGTCCTGACTGTGCCTCTCCAGCACGTCCAAGTGCGTGGAGTCAGCCCAGGGCTGGTCAAGCGGGCAGAGCCAGCACAGGAGGGGCGCGGAAGGTGAGGGAGAGCACTCGGGGAGACTCTGGCTCCGGAGGGGATGTGGGACAGTGAGAAGGTGGCAGTGGCCAGGGTGGGGGTGTCACAGAAGGGGCTAAGAATCGCCAGGGTTTGGGTGTAGGAGGAAGGGAGCCGGACGGGCAGGTGGAAGGAATCGGTGGTGAGGCGTGATGGGCAGAGAAGAGTGCAGGGCTGAATGTGGGGCCGGTTGCGGAGGAGTGGCGACAGGGCCGGGGAAACACCTCAAACTTCTCTGGGATCAGGACAGCCCTCTGGGCCGAGGTTAAAAAACAACAACAACAATAAAAGGATGACTTGAGATAAAGACTTTGTAAATCCAAGGGACGCTTCCTCTGTGTTCCATGGAGAATGCACTGGCAGCCACCTGGGACTCCCTGGTACTACACAGGAGCCTGGGCAGCACGCCTCCAAATATGTCACTTTACTAAAGACCTCTGGAGCGGGGTGGATCCCAGCTCTCCGTCACGAATCCCTCACTTGGACTTCTGGGGTCAAAGGTCTTGCTGTGGCCACCGAAACCCACGGAGCGGCCACGAGTCCTCTGAGCCTCCACCGGCACCTAACATGGGCCCTCTGGCCTTGTGGGCCTAGGTGAGGACGGGCAGAATGAACCAAGCACGTCTGGGGGTGTTCTCCCAGCTCCCAGGCAGGAGCTGGCAACAAAGAATAGGGAGCAGATAAGGTGACGGACGCGCTGGTCTTACGGATGAAAAGCTCCATCAGGATTAAAGAAGATTTGGTCAAAGGACCGAGTGTCTTTGCTTGGAGAGGAGGCAGCACTTAGAGACACTGCTTTCTTGTCCTTCTCAGAGCATGCATCCCTCTGCTTTGCATGAGGGGTGCCATCCCAGGGAAGAATTTCTGTGCCCCCCAGCAGCGAGGTGCTTTCTGAAGCATGATCTCATTTCGTCCCCACGAAGCCTCACGAAGCAGGCATTCTTGCCCACATTCGCAAGTGAGGACTTGGAGGCTTCGGGAAGCTTCCGGGTCCACTGTCCAGGCTGCATGGTGAGTGACCGGTAGAGCTGGTGCTGGTTCCCAGGTCTCTGACCGTGTGTGCAAGGGAAGGAATGGCATGCCCATCCCTGGGATGATCGCGTGCCTTCGGAGAAGGACTGTGGTTTTTAGGAAAAGTATGGTGTTTTGCTAACCACAGAATCGGAGTTAATAAATATCCTTCTTCATTAAACAAACATTAACTGGGCACCTGCCAGGTGCTGCTTCAGGCGTCTGGGACCAAGCCATGAACTAAAGAGACAGAGACACCTGTCCCCTGGAGGGCACGGTGATACTCCAGTTAGGTGAACACGAGAGAGAGAGTAGTCTTACCTTTCTGAGGTAGTTTAGGAAGAACTCTTGGGCCAAGGGCAGTCTTTGCAGAGCCGGTGCTGATTAATAAATAAGAATCATTTAGGATCTCAAAATGTTAGAATATCATTAATGATATAATATTCAAGGAAATCACAGGAGTTTGGTGAATTCTCTAAAAACCCTTCCAAAATTTCTTTAACGAAAGATTACAGTCTATTTCCCACAATTCAAGATTTGCCTGGCCGGGGAGGACCCAGGACAGGATGAAAAGGCCAAGCCTGTGAAAGTGAAAACTGCCTGCCCTTCGCCCTGGACACCTGTCCACAGAGGTACCGACTGAGAGCATCTGTCCCCACAAAACCTCAGTCAGTCCTCTCATGGGATACAGTCTCTCAACCTAAGTCTTCGGCCCCCACGTCCAGGTGAGGAAAAACTGAAGTCTGTGGAGTTTCAGTGACCAGCAGAGGGTCCCAAGGCAGGCCAGGGTGGGGGAGGGAGGACATAAATTCAGACCCCTCTCCGTCCATCGGCAGAGCCCTGGTATCCTCCATGGCCCCAGAGCAGATCGTTTGGGTTCTCAGAACCCCAGGCTCTCCGAGCTCTCCTTCCTCTTGGAGCACTTACACAACGAGTGGGGAAAAGCACCCAAGTCTCGGGAACAGAAGTCCACTCCAGGTGGTCCAAATAATCGAATGTTCCTCCCCACGCCCCTGCCGCCGCTGAAATGCCCGGGCTGCAGGTGGCACCTGTTGGCTTCAGTGAGAGGCGGTAGCTACTCTCAGGACACCGAGCACTGCAGACTCCCAGAGCAACAGCAGCCGAGCGCCCAAGTCCTCTGTGCCAAGGGCCCCTTTCAAGCTCTCGTTTGTCTTTTTCTGTCCTATGATGTCCTAAGAATTGGCTTGTTCCTCTTTCTCTCCTAACTTCATTTAAAGGAAGAGGGAAAGCCAAGCCAACCAAACAACACAGAGTCAAAGATGATGAAGTGCACGTGTTCTCAGCCGCTGGCCTCCAACCACCCTCGGTCCTAACTGCTCTCTCCTCAGCTCCTGGATCCCCTGGCCCCAGGCCAGAGGGGGGCCGTGAAGTCCCCGTGAATCTGGAAACAGTGAACACACAGGGCTTTGCCTCAAACACTTCTGGAGCGTGTGTTCCCGGCCTTGGCATCTTCTCAGGGAAGCACCTGCCGGCTACTGACGTGAGCACGATGGTTACTCCTGACCCAGGCCCCGGGCCCTGGGCCACCACTGAACACCTGTGGGCCCAGGCTTCTTCCCACGGAAACGAACACGAGGCCGCCGCTGTGTGCACATGTGCGTGTGTGCGAGCAGCCCGATTCCGTTCAAAAAGCACTCTGTACGTGTCAGACGCTCTGCCCCTCTGGAAGAAGACCCCAGAGCTGAAGTTTGCGTCCCCCAGAGGGGGGCGGACGGGCGATGGAATGGGAATGACAGGCGGGACGCAAGGGAAGGGGACGATGGGATGCAGAGTCTGGAGGACAGCTGTTTGAGTCCAGCTCTGACATTGCCACCACTTAACCTCTCAACCTTTCGGGGCTGTTTCCTCATTTGTAAAACCGAGGAAATAGTAATCGGCCTATCTTGCGGAGCTGGGAAGACCAAACAGGGCAGTGGTGCTAAAATAAATGAGGACTTTGTTTTTGTCTCATTTGATAAAACTCTGGAAAGCTACCCCGGCACGCCAGCTGACTCTCTCCCCGAGGTTTTGGGGCTGGAAGTGTCTTTGTGTCTTTATCTCAGACCGGGCCTCTAGAGAAAACCCTTTGCGTCGGGATTGGGTGAATGTTGCCCACAGAAGATCTTCCAAAATATCCCGTTTCAGTGAAAGGAGGGAAGGAAGGAACGCTGCTTTCAGCATAGCCAAAGAAAACCTCACAAACGGGGCCCTTGGAGAGAGTCCTACTGTTAGGTTTGAAAACCTCTGGGCTGTCGGGCTTCCCTGAGGACTGCCTTCATTCCCAAGTCTGCAAAAAGGAGTCAAGAGGGAAAGTAACAAAACAGAGCTACTTGTTAAAATACCAAAATTAAAATCTCCTCCTGGTAAGACTCTGTGACATCAGGGAAGTGGGGTCTGTCCCCCCCGGGGACCCTGGATGGAGGACAGCCGTGCCGCTCACAGACGTACGGGGTGAGAGTGGCTCGCATGACTGGCCACGAGACACGTAAGTGTGCCCACTGTGAACACTGAGCTCCTCACGACCAGCCCCGGCTGGTGGGCCACACTTTGGGTAGACTGCCACTAAAACCCATTCCTAGAATTCACAACAGTCACCCGTGATCCCCACCGGGGGAGAAAGCAGGAAGGCGACTTACCTCGATTGCTGAGATAGTCCCTCAAACTTATTTGCAGTCTTACTTGACGATGATGGACCCACATCGTTCCCTGCAGGGAAAACCAGAGGCAGAGTCACATCCTCAGACAGGGAAACGGAATAGAGGGATGTAGGACTTCGCAGACAGGCACCCCTTTGGTTCCAGAAGGGAATTTAAAAAAACCCAAGCTAGAACGGTATGCACTTCTAACTTTAAAACAAAACACAACGAAACAAAACCAAAGCATCGGCTTGGGTTCTGACGATGTTTTTCTTGCTATTAAAGGAGTATGTTGCAAAGATGCGCAGCCTGCTCCCAGGCGAGGCCTCTAAGGTCACAGGGCTTTGGGGATGTCCTACTGCCTCAGGATCTTGTCCTCAGCTTGGGGGCAGGGAGAGAAGAGTCAAACCTCAAACTCACCTGGAGGTTCCCGTGTCAGGAGACTAGCCCTGGGAGCCAGACTCAGAAGAAATACACAACCCACAAACTCTGTGTGTGTGTGTGTGTGTGTGCGTGCACATGGAGGTGGCCACCGTTCAGCAGGGTGGTGATAACCGGCCAGGAATCTGATCGTTCACTCAAACATAGCACTTATTAAGCGTCTACTGTGTACAAGGCATGAATGTGGAGCAGGAGGCACAAAAGCAAATGAAATGTCACTGCTCTTGCAGAGTCTGTGATCTGGCCTGGGAGACGTACACACACCAAGTATACTGACCACATGGGATGAGAGGAGTGTTGCACAGGGTTGGGTGCTATGAAAGAAAAACGTGTCTAACTGGTAAGAGGAACACAGAGAGTCCTTTTGGGGGACATGCACCTGAACGCTGATGCATTTTCTCATGGCGGAGCGGCAGAACCAGATACGTGTTCTGCGTCCAGAAGGCAGAAAGCCTGGCTAGAATAAAGGGGGGCTCTTTTGTGATCCGTCCCATGGTGGGAGGAGCACAGAGCCCCAAGCTGCCAGGCTCTCCTGGAGGAATCCCGGCGAACCTGCAGGGGGGCGGTGGTCTCTGTGCTCTAGCTCATTTCCTTGCCTGCCTTTCCCAAGGTCCCTTTCGTCCCCTAGACACCCACAGTATCTCCCAGGTGCCGCCGGGAAGGGGCTTTGCTGAGGAGGCTCAGAAACAGGAGGGCGGCTGCAGAGGACAGCACTGGGCAAAGCACTGAGCTCTGCGTCCTATGTGGTGGATCTGCTCCATAGCACCTACGGCTGCCCAAATGCTTCTCCTCCTCACAACGACATGAACAGCTGGTGTCATTATCCTCATTCTGAAGATGAGGAAACGAGGGTAAGTCACATGGCTACATGACGTACCTGGAAGTCTCCACCGTGAGTCTACAGACTGTTCACTGCCCACCATGATGACCCGATAGCAATCACCAATAATAGCGACTACTGTTTATTGGGCACTTACTGTGAGTGAGGTAAGGTATACGCACATCACGGGAATCACATCTACGGCACGCATAATACGGTTCCCCTCCATTTTGTTCGTGAAGAAGCACGAAGCAGTAAAGCCAAGCCCAAGGTCAAGTAGCTGGCAGGGGTGAGAGCCGTGATACAGAGCGGAGCAGCCTGCTACCAGGATGTGTACTAAACTCCCACCTCCTATCAGTGCCTGTCCTGGACGGGGGGAGGCTGGCACAGGGCGAAGACGAGAACTTTCTGTAACTCTAGGACACTGATGCAAGGAGAAAGCTAAACTGGCGTTACCAGGACCCAAGACTTTCAAATACAGCTTTATTTTAGTAGGATGCTCCTTCTAACCATCAGTGTATTTCCACGAGCCAGCACTAATACCGAAGGACTCCTCTGGCAGCCTCTCACAAAATCCTCTGAGCTGTGAATGATGTTCAGGTAGGCATTTCTTTTCGGCCTGGTGCTCAATGTGAGTCCTTAGGACTGGCTGGCAAATCTCACACTTTCAGACTTACAGGAGCCATAATAATCAAAATGGCAGAGAAAGCTCAACGTTAGGGCAAACTACTGTATCTGGTAATTCCCTTTTCGGGTAGAAGACATTCCAAACCGGTGATTCTTTGCCCTGTTATATGCAAGACTGACCACGAGACCATTAGGGTTGCAGAAAGCCCCTCGTGCTGCTTGTGGTCACCTACTCTGCTGTCACACAGATGAGCCATCACACCAGGGGCTGTGGCCTGACACCTGCAGCCCCAGTGTCCAGGGTCCTCATTTGACCCTGCTCTCTCTGGCCACTCGAGGGGGCTCTCCGTCTCCAAAGACACTGTGTTTTTATGCCTCAGTAACTCTGCCCGTCTCTTCTCTCTGCAACACCCAACCCCTCCCACCCGTGCCGAACTCCTGGAACTCCTGCACACCCTGCAGAGTATCTCCAAAGTCAACTTCTGGGAATTCTTCCCTAGCCAGGCTTGACCACTCCCTCCTTCCTTTTAGCCTACAACCACTACTCACAGAGCAGTGGTTAAAGGTGCAAATTTCAGAGCCAGCCAAGCCATCACCCAGTGAGTAGGGGTTTGGACTGCTCTGCTTTTTCTACTAAGCGTCAGTCCCCTCATTTATATAATGGGAACCAAACAGTATCTACCCCACTAGATGGGTAAGAGCATCACAAGAGATAAATTATGGAGCACAGGGCACAGTGCAGGGCCACAGGGAACGTGACACAAATGGTAATGATTATTCATAGCTCTCTGATGGAATGTAACAGAACGATGAGGATTTACTCATTGGACGAACATTGGTCGTCTTTGTGACCCCACTGGCCAGCCCAGTCTCTGGCATGGAGCAGTCGCCAGGCTCTTGCTGAAGGAAGTCAGCAGGACTCACGTGCTTCTCTGCCCACAGCTGCATTCCCCCCGCACCTGGTGGGAAGGCCTCTGTGGTCTGGCAGCCAGGAATCCCATCAACCTCGTGGCCAGACAAAGGCCACGAGCCATGTCTGGGAAGAAAAGTGTGGCTTAGACATATTTCTGGAGAAAGGACAGTATTCAAGGAAGGACCAAAAACACGGAAGCAGTTTTATCCCTTTTCCTCTCTTCATGCAACTTGGAAAAGGACTCTAGCGTACAAAAGTTGGGTGTAAGAGAGAGCTGGAGACAGACGCTGGGCCAGCAGTTGAAGGAGTTGTGGCAGACTTGGGGCTACCTACTTTAGCTCTGAAACTTTGGGCCAAGAATTTATGGAGAGAGAGGAGGGCACTGGCCCAGGAGTGAATGACCCACAGGCTCCAGGAATCTTCCGGAAAAGTGGATAAATACATGAGCCTTGATACCACAGCTCTGAAGTTAGTGGATTTGTGATCTTCTACAAGCACTTGACCACTCTGTGCTTCAACTTCCTCACTGATAGAATGGAGACAGTGATGGTGTCCATCTTATAGGATGGCTATGATGGCTAAATAGGACGACGACTGAACCAGTGCACGGCCCCAGGACAGGGGAAACAATTTACAGATGGTAGCCACTATTATTAACTTCTAGAGCTGCATGCACAGTGGGGTTGGGGGGTGGGCGGCAGGGAGCTGACATAAAAATATGTTGGGGAACCGAAGAAAAGGGAAATTTCTGTCCAGAGGCTCTTTTACAAACCAATACTGCTCCAATAAGTAGACATTTCAAATACTGAGGCTTTCACCCAAAGTTCTGGCCTTGAAATAAGAGAAGTGAATTGATTTGTGGTATGGTTTTTCTTCTAGTGTATGCTCTACAATAAAAGAAAAAAGAAGCTTATACAATTTTAAATCCCAGTGAACAAAGACAAGGAACCTAATGGTTTCCAGAGATCACTTAGCTTGGGATTGGTAGAACCTAGATTGGAACCCAGGCTTCCAGAATGTTCTTTTAGTACGTATTATGGTTTCCTGTGATGTGTGCTATAGAGACTTCTCTGAACACCTGCCAAAGGACGGAGGTCTTGGGGCAAGTTGCTCTCAGGTATTAATTACAAGACTCTTAAGTATGAGAAGTGGGTTAAACTTACGGCCGCCATAAACTGGATAATTGGAGGTTTTTTTGTTTTTGTTTTGTTTTTTTTTTTTTTTTTTTTTTTTTTTTTTTTTTGCTCTTGCTGGTAAGAAGCTCAGTGTCAAATCTGTGGTCTATTTCCAGCCATTGTATGTGAACTTCTATTACACATTTTGTGAAGAGATCAAACTCCTGGACTATGTGTTAGTTACCTTTGTTCTTCCTTTGTTCTCATTTCTTCATTAAGTTACTTAAATTGTATTAAAATATGTGTTGGCCTGTTATAGAATAGGTTATAAACAAATTACTTATCTCCAAAGGTGAGGTTTAATGACATCCACTTGAAAAACTGAACTCCCCATAAAACCCAAATCTGCCTATCAGCCACCTTGTTTTGTAAACAAAAGCCTGCCTTAGCAGTCTCCCGAGACAGATGGCTGAATTCATCACAAGAGCGGGACTTCAGTAATGTGATGCCTGGGCTATTTTGGGTGCTGCGGCCACTGTGGTTCTGGCAGGGAGAAGGCCTGAGTGGCCCTCCCCGCACACCAGGGCTCCATGCTACAGATGGACGAGGAGGCATACAGCCAGGCGGAGGTGGGGAACGGTCCCAGAATCACTGTGCTACTACGTGCAGAGCACAACAGAGCACGGCGAGGGGAGGACTGCAGCTCTCCCAGCCACACAGGCTGGTGAGGGATCCTGGCTCCCCGAGTACCGGCCGTGGGAACTTGGGCAGATGATTTAATCTTTCTGTGTCTCAGTGTCCTGAAAGTCAGGGTCCCAGCATTTCCTACTTTCTGGAACTGTGGTTAAGATTAGATAAGTACCGGGGTGCCTGGCTGGCTCAGTCGGGGAAGCGTGAGACTCTTGATCTTGGGGTTGTGAGTTCGAGCCCTACACTGGGTGCAGAGGTTACTTAAATAAAACTTAAGACAAAAAACAATTAGATAATTACTATTAACTAGCCCCATTTCACAGCCAGAGAAACTGAGGGATGAAGAATGAAAAAATAACTGCTGAAAGCCACAGGGCTAGCAAGTGGTAGAGACTGATTAGGATCTGGGTATGGCACAGGGTCCACGCTGGAGCACTCTGCTCTGAGACAGACACAGCACATGCCCTTGCAAATTCACAGTGGTCTGGGGAAGAGAGGTGCATACAGCACTGTGGCAACCCCTGTGCCCGAGGGGCCAGAATGGGGGTAAGGTGGTGGCTAGCCTGGGAAGGCCCCTCAGGCGCGTCCCTGGAGAGCAGATCTGGAAGGACGACTAAGCATCAGCACACACGAGTTGAATATTCCAGTTTGAGGCGCATTATGAGCAAAGGCTCAGATCTTAGAGAAAAGAATGTAGCCTGGGAAGCTGGCATACCTCAATAGGGCAGGCACGTTGTGTTTCAGGGGGTGGGTACACGAGGCATGGGGGAGCCAGGAGGCTGTGACTATACTACCTCCTCATGCTGGTATCCCCCCACTGCCTACCAGACCCGGATCCTGGTCTCAGATAGTCCCCAAAGGCCCCCAGCTCGGGCAGGGGAGAGATGGGAGGATTAGGGGAACAAGAGAGGCACTGGAAAGATGATCCATGGATGGAAGCTGGAGGCATCGTAGCAGGTCTAGGGGTCTGATACCCCATGTGTTTTACCAATGATCAGTCTGGGGGCACCTGGGTGGCTCAGTAGGTTAAGTGCCTGACTCTTAATTTCAGCTCAGATCATGATCTCATGGTTGCGAGATTGAGCCCCAAGTAGGGCTCTGGACTATCAGGGTGGAGCCTGCTTGGGATTCGCTCTCTCCCTCTCTCTCTCTGCCCCTCCCCACCGAGTGCTTGCTCTCTAAATAAATCAACATTAAAAA